CGCTATATATTTACGTGTACTTTTACATATAATATAGGTTAAATATCAATAATTATACCAAAGATAATCTTCACTTTCATTAATCTTTTATAATCAGATTTACTATCCAATAACTTGCGTATATGCTAAACTTCTTAATCCGTGTTTCAAGAGAGGTCAGATAGATGATTAAGGTTCATATTGAGATGCATATTGAGATGATTACGGTTCATAATGATGCATACAGTATTATAACATTACCAATTACTCAATCATGCATTTATCAGTAAAATCGTATGAAACTACATATAAGTACAATTAACAAAACTATAATTGATGCATATCATTATTATTCCAAATGAAAGTTATACATATGGGATTAAAACTTCATCAAAGACATATTTCAATAGATTTAGATGTCAAATTATGAATTGAAATAATTAATCCACTAAATTAGCTGTATTAAAATGCTGAAACGAAGCTTTCGATAAATATCATCGATAAATACACCAATCATCATTTCATAAATTTCGAATTCATATCTTAAATGTTATTTCATTCATTAATACAAACATTAATAAATAATAAACCAATTAAGATTGTTAAATTTATTGGTTGAATACTGATAAGTTTCGCTAACTCTATTCTTCCCGTTTTCCACCCTCTTGAACTCTTCAAAATTCTTTGCAACTTTTCCTCACGATACTTGTTTGCTATCGGTCTCGTTGACATATTTAGCTTAAATGAAGTTTACCACCCTCTTCGGCCTACAATCTCAAACAACTCGATCCCAAGGAATGACTTACCGTAACATTTTCCTCCCATACAGGTTTTTTTTTTACCTTCTGTGAGCTATAGCCCCGTTCAAGGTGACTTTGAGTGTAAAAATATGTTACAGATAGTTACATCTATACGCTACATTTCCATATAGATAAATATCTATTGGATTCAGCGTTGGGCTTTTTCCTTTTCACTCGCCGTTACTAAGGAAATCCTCGTTAGTTTCTTTTCCTCCGCTTAGTTCAGCGGGTAATCACGACTGAGTTGAGATCAAAGACATATTATTTGATTGAATCAATCATTTCATTCATTATCCATCCTCATTTATTATAAAATGAAAGTAATAAATTAATTATTACAATAAAATACATAATGATAATAATTTAAATTTTTCCTTGTATGAAACATCAGTTATATGTATATATATTCCATATTTATTTCATTATTCCATTTACAAGACTTCAGCTATTTACCTGGATTGAGTATCCCCTAATTCATCCATGATAACTTGTTAATCAGTATACATAACTGATTAAGATAAGGCAAAGAAAACTGGCAATATTAGCCTAGGAGTTCAATTCAGTTCTCGTCCATTGGATGGACGAAGTCCTAAAGCACAGATCCAACTACGAGCTTTTTTACCTGTACAAATGGACGATACACATTTTGAGAGCTGGTATCATCGCAGCTACTGGCAGAACCAGACTTGCCCTCTCATAAATCATTGTTCTGATAATCGACCTCAAAGAGAACGGTCCCATTATTTTCTTTCACTACCTCATTCTGAGAGTAGGTAATTTGTGCGTCTGCTACCTTCTTTGGATGTGGCAGCTGTTTCTCAGACACTGTCCCCGGAGTCGAACCCTTATTCTCCGTTACCCGTTACAACCATGGTACATTACATAAATTACCATCGAAATAAGTCAGACAGCTTGATAGATATGTCGCCAGTACAAGACCATGCGATCAGCCATAGCTATTTCAGAGTCACCAATTAACGGGCTAATAACCCGACTGATTTTAATTTAATAGATGAACTCGTTCTAAATTCGGAGCTTTGATGTATATATTAGCTCTAGGATTACTACAGTTATCCAGGTTGAATAATCAACATCAATTACATTATAGCTGTCACCATTATAGGTTTATTTGGACTTAAACATACATGGCTTGCCCTTTGAGACAAGTATTTAACCGCTGACAAAATTAATCAGGGAGATGTTTGAAAAGAACAAAAACACATTAGCATGATGTACTAATATAGGAAGAACTCGTTTTCTCTTACTTAATTATACCATCATGTCATGTCATGTCATGTCATGTCATATCATTCATTCATTCACTTATTCATCCACATCTCTTCAACCATTCATTTCCTTAGCTTATCAATAAATTTAAAAATAAAATTTAAAATTTCATCTATAATATGGCAAAAAATACGATAAATTTCCAAAATACGACTGGATGATGAAACATTTACATCATCCGATTCATATTCTACGTTATAATATTAGACGTGAAATGAAACACGCAGACATATACAGATTTTCTGATCCTATAATTTAATTTATTAACTACTTACCTGTCAGAACTTTCATTCCATGCGACAATTTTATTGATCAAGTTATGGACAATTTCGACTAACATCCTATCATTTCTTCATTCTTTGATAATATTACCAGAATCTTGAAGCTTGTTCTTGAGAAATATTCAAATGTACAGATTGGATAAAAAAAAGGGAGAGATAAATTATGAGAATAATGAAGTATGCTATTTTTTTTTAAAGTTTTTTTTTTTTATTTTTTAAGCTGCTAACAAATATGTAAACATAGCAAAAGCTAAATATTAACATTGACATTTTCTGTATTGAAATATTAACTCTTCAAATATAGTAGTAATTTTGGAAACAAAAAAAATTAAGAAATAAGAAAAATTAGACTGAAAGAAATCGATGATATGGAAGAAGGGTATAGGAAAATGACAGAAAATGACAATAAAGTATACGGTTATATTATCATATTCATCTGTGTGCAATGATATTATGATAATTATGAAAATTAAATGCAACTCTTAAAGAATTTATTAAAATCATTCCATGTGTTTATCGAATTTGAACATTTAAGTGATGATTAATCACTGACTGATATGATTGAATATTTTAATTTTAATAAAATAAACGAACCAGTAAATGAGATAAAGTTATTTTAAGTTTTATTAATGAAGTTTTCAGTTCCATTCCCATATATAATCAATCATTTTAAAATTATCATCTTAAATGATTTGAAGAAATTTAGTTCAGTTGAAATTAACTTTGCTTAGTCATTATGATATATGGGAAAGGAAATATGATAAGCGAGAAATGCTTGCAGTAGTGAAAGAAACAAGTCTATATTTGTTACCTGGGCAATCAAAAGCATTCATTTTAATTATGTAAATGTTTTCTGCTAATGTTAATCGATTAAAGACTTGGAATGCAATTTGATAAATATTATTGCGAAAATTCTTTTTTGAAGGAAGTTTTTGATATCCAGTAAGTAATTAAATAACTAATAAGTAATGAAAATTATGCTTTCAGATAAAATTTTGTTTGATACCGAAATGTTATCAAACATATTTTATCAATGAGTGACAACAGTCAGACAAATGAAAATGATAAAAAAAGGGAATATTTCGTATTTAAGGTTATTTGAAGAGAAGCCAAGAAGATGTTGCAAGATGTTAAAAGGCTGGTAAATTTAGAAATCTTTTAAAAAAGTATAATCCTATTAAATCAGGAATCTTTTGGCAGAAAAAATAGGAAGAAAAGAATGTGATTCTTTAGTATTACTAGAGAAAGCTTTGTAAAAAAAAAAAAAAGGTGGGTAACTTTAAAAGTAGATAATCAATCAGAAGGATGAATGAAATTTATTGAAATTTGAAATGACCCCTTTGTGCCATATTCGAGAATTTGCATAGAAGTAATGAAACAATGAGGTTTACAAATTTATGCAAATTAAACTTTCAATCTTGTGAATAACAACAAAAACAGTATAACTTAAACGAGATATAAGAAAGTGACCAATGAATTGTAAAATTTGCAAAGTCCATCATCTACTTCTTTTATATTGGTATTTTCATCTGAGCAGTGATTCTTCTTTCCTGATTAATTAGCAAAATATAAACTATTTTGTTATGATTTCTCCTTCCATATCTGAATATCCTAGTGATTCTTATAGGCCAAACCATATGTTTCACATTGAAACCTGAACAGGTGTGCAGCAAAAAGTGGTGTGAAAACTGTTTCATGAAACTTCAAACTGAAATGCAGCATCAAGACAGCCAAACTGTTTTAATAGCCTTTACAGGCTAAATAACTTCGAAGCTCAATTTTAAATTTTTCAAGTACTAATTACAATTACATGTTAGTTACTTAAATGAGTTCTTCCTAAGTTCAAAAATGGAGTCAATAAATTTTGGAATTTCGCCATTTGAAAAATCTTTAAATAAAGCTTAATGCTTACAAATGCTATCTCAACAGTTTCGAACTTCCTTTCAGGGAATTCAAAGGCATTCCGGGTTGGGCAATAATTTCGCATACCAAATTTATTTGTCTCGCCTCGGGGGTAAAGTATACCAATACCACAGGTAAAAGCAAAAATTAGGTAATGAAAAAAACTGTTTAACACATAACAAGTGTCAAAGATAAAATTGGAAGCATTTTCAGGACGTCACACATATGCGCATTTCTAGCATCTTATTATGCAATTTCTGTCACATTCTACCAATTTGTTTAAAAAAGGAAAATACTTTAAATGATGGTAAATCTTACTATTAGCAAATTTTTTTTTTTTTTTTTGTGGATTTGTCACGTGATCGGACCTGACTTGCATATCTTCTGAACATTGAATGGGCACCTACCCTAGTTCCAACATGCTTTTATGAAATGGATATTAACCCACTCATTTTTTAAAAATAAATCTCATAAACCAACATTACTGAAACTTATCTTTGCACGAGTTTTATAACCATCGTTTGCTTGCATTGTTTTGGAAATATTTTACTTTTAATGCAAAAAATTATCATTAAGTAAAGGTCGGCACTAGAAGAAATTTCTTCAATTTTTAAGGTATATTTTCTAACAAATATAACATCATCTATCTTGCTTGCACAACTTTCAAGTACTTGTCTCGAATAGAAAAGACGACATAATCATTTTGTTTAAACCTGTTTGAAATTTTATAAGAATGTCAAGACCGGTGCAACAGTTCTCGGAACTTCGAAATCAACGGTTTATCGAACAAGATTTTGAAAATGGTCTATCAAACAAGAATTTGAAAACGAATGGCCTATCAACAAGAAATTAATAATGAATGGTCTATCAACAAGAAATTAATAATGAATGGTCTATCAACAAGAAATTAATAATGAATGGTCTATTAACAAGAAATTGAAAATGAATGGTCTATCAACAAGAAACTGAAAATGAATAGTCTATCAACAAGAATCTGAAAATGAATGATCTATCAACAAAAATTTGAAAATAAATGGTCTAACAACAAAAATTTGAAAATGAATGGTTGATCGAACACATTTTACTAATCTGCATCTTACTAATCAACTCTGCAAGCTTTTCCCAATCCTAAAAGAATACTCCACTCATACCCTATCATTTGAACTTGATTATTTAGATTAATTCCTTTACGAAGCATTACTTACCAACAACTTGAAACTATCAATCATAACATCTACAAACATGAAATGAATTTCCAACTTTCGCTGTGACCCATTTAATGATAATTTCATCCATAGTAACTCTGACATATCGGAATACTTTCTTAATTAAAGTAATATACAAAAAAGCATCCCTTGCAGGCTTACTATATTACAGTTTGCTAATTCTGAACACTTCACATTAAATGATATTTTCAACCAGAAAATGAACATGAACATAGACAAGATCTCGAATCGCGAGCAATGGAAAAATGCATAAAGCACCGCGAAAAAAAGAGATCAATAAAGAAAACAACTGCGGATTACATTGATTTGTCCTGTCACATAGGAAAAGATCGTTTGGTTGCTTAGGTTATAGTAGCCAACAACTAACTGTCAAGAAGCTAATCCGCAAGCGTGTTAAAGTTTTCATGTAGTACATTTCGCGTAATTACACAGAATTACCAATCTTCAGGGGCAAAAGGATAACCATCAAACGATGATGAGCGCGCCGCATATCCATTACAATATTCACAACTAAAATATAAATCGATAATAACCAATAAATGACGTTAACGAAATATTGAAAAAATACGAAAAGAGAGAAAATCAGCAAAAGGCATACTATAATTCAAAACCGATGAAATTTAAAGATCCTTTAAGTATATCACGGTGCACCAAAGCAACAAAAGTTTTTCAAACTAACATGAATGGTAGTGCAGTCATTGTGAGATCACAAAATCCATCGATTTGGCGCAAATCGTTCTCTACGGCTCTGAGATCACCATCAAAAGTATCGTGGAAAATCTGACCATTTTCTGTTTCAGTCCAATTAATTAAATGGTTCCATTTGGTTGAAATTAATAGTTTAGGTCGTTTCAAATTCAGGCGTTGCAAGATTTCAGTATTAACCTAAAACGACTATCCCGCTTTCAGAACGACTTGTATTCAATTGTCAGTCGATTGCGCTATTTTCGATCGTATGCAAAAGCCTACGTAAGAAATACTGGAAAAATAGTATTACAGTAAATCTTTTTATTTTGTGATAAATGATACCTGATTTCCATGAAGTTTGAGAAAGCGTAAATTAGGCAAATCATCATCATCAAGATTACTCCAGACTTCATCTTTATAGCGATTCCCAAGTTTGCTTAGATTCAAAAAAACTAAATGCCTAAAAAAAAAGTTTTTAATTCTATTATAACGAATACAGCTAAAAGAATCAAGTATTTCACTTCGAAATTCCTTCGAAATAATTAAGACACTGCTGGTACTAACCTAATCGTCTTAGTTACGAACTTTTTCACTGGCTATTATTTGAGTGACCCTTGAAAAATATCTCACCATAGCCATAAGTAAAACAAAAAAATATTTTAGCGTTTCTGGACTGTATATGCAATATACTGAAATATGAACTGAAGTCTACTCCTAAACTTGCTCTCATAGAAGAATCGAAATTTAGCTCATTAAATATGAAAAATAAACAATTTCAGAAGAAAATTAGCAATTAAAATATAATACTGAAATATAGAGTAAAGTAAGACTGATTCACTTGAAATGACTAATAATAAACGGCACAGCATCATCGTCCATATATTTATTGTATGGCAGACCAAGTGTTCTCAGCTCTGGGCAACTGTAATGATTAATTCTTCAAAAACATAAATTTCAAAAATATTTTTCATGGACTCCGAACTTATAGTTTCCTGCAACTCGCTTTCACTGCAATCAAAATTTGTGCACTGTCGTGATAATTTGAATAACAAAAAAATCAACATACTTCCGATCAATAACTTCTAAAAGAACGGTTCTGCACGCATGAAACTCCGCAATTTCTAAATGCTTAAGCTTATACGGGAATGATTTTTCGGGTTCTTTGTATGGTAAAGTGAATAAGGTAATCATCCCACTGCTGGATAGACTACAATCTCGACCGCCATAGTTCATCCGTAGTTCTTCCAAATTGTACAAATTCTGCAACGTCGAAACGCTAATAATTACGAAATTCTAAGAAGGGATTCCATGCTAAATGGTTAATTACACTTCTGTGAAGTTAGCAATGTGGACCACTTAGTCTTCAGAAGTCGAAAAGATACAAGGTTTCTAAAACTATTAAAAATTATTCCATCACCCCTCCACAACGGTGTAACTGTAACGAACCTTTATGTGTGAAGTGGTGTTAAGCCATGTTTTGATGGTTATTCCCTTACCTTTAAAGGAGCGATGGCTTGATCAGAGATATGGAGACAGACGGTTAATGAGAATACTTTTAAATTACGCAATTCGGCAATATATTTAAAGTCTTCGCTTCCAATGTAATATCCGAGATGAAGTTCGGTAAGTGTTGACTTCCACGGAGAAGAACTGATTCCGATTAAACTGAAAATCAATAGTAATGATGAACATATCAGTAATGTAAATGATTAGAGTGATGATTAATAAAAATATGCGCCAGCCACTGCAATTCTGAACAAATGTTTTGAGATAAAGCTCCAGCTCAGCAACCTTCAAAATAGTAGTAAAATTGCTTTGAAAAGGTCAACAGCACAAACCCCAGCTAAAGTATTTTAAAAAAATAAAGACTTACTTCAGTTTGACTGCCCCACTATGAACATGTAATAAATTTAATGGACGTTTGCAAGCCCATAACTTTGCAACAGTTCTCATGCAGTACTGACTTATATCACCTATGAAGAAATTATGCATTTTCGGGAAAATACTCTCATCTCCAAACAACATTTCCAGCACTTCATTCCATTCTTCTCCACATTCGGCATAGGCCGAGCACTAAAAAAACAATACTCAGAACATTGCACTAGTTGAAATCGACTTCAAACCTCATCTAAAATTCCGACTGGAATAATAGTGATAGTAATTAAATGATTGAGAAGTGCAGCAACGATAATTGCTATCACAGTACTGATAATATATAATCCTGATAATATATAATCAGCAACTTTTATACAACTATCGGTATAAACCATACTCGCTGCACTTCATCCATATGCAATGTTTCAACATTGGGGAAGCAATCTGATAATTTTTTCAACAGCGTAGTATTCATTTCTGCAAAAAAAAAACCATTATGTAGATATAAAAGTATTTGAATTTCAGGAAAATCAATTCTTACTAAGATCTCCTGATTTATATCATCTCTTTTTATTTCATTTCTCTTGTTAAATAAGGTGGTTTTAATTTATACCCCTAAAGGAGCCAATATCGAGATGGACAACGTTAGGAAAACAAATGTCGAATAATGCGTTAACTTGGGCAGATGGTAAGGGCACCGAACAATAAATGCACAGTTTTCGAAGATACCGCGAAGTCTGAAAATATACAAAAGGGTTAGGACATTTATATCTTGACTTGTCAATTAACAAAAGTGGAAAACAAAAGAGGAGTAAAAATTCAAATAATAAATTTGTCCTGGTCGCTTCGATTAATCATGGTTCATAAAGACGAAAACTCACTGATTATCAAATCGTCAGCACAAAACTTACTCTGTGGAAGAATGTTTTAACACTGTTATATTTCAACGAAATATCGTTGACTAACACCCGGACTTCGGTGAACAAAGAGGGATGATTTGCCAAATAATTCCAACGGCGACAAACCAAGGAGAAACCATGAGTTAGATCAATCGGATGACAATAACCAAATATTGTCAACAATATATCATCCGAAAAATCGTTGATACTAATAGATAATCCCTTAACAAATTACGATTGAAGGGGTTTTCATTGGATTAGTTTGCAATGACTCGTGACACTGAATACACATCCTAATACTGTATGGGAAAAAATACCTTCTTGACGTTTGAATTGACAGTATATTCGTAGAAATACATTTCGGTTCCGAATGAAATCTAAAAATTTTCTCCTCATCCTTATTCGGATGAATGAAATAAAGATACAGTAATAAGTAAGTCTGATTGGCTTCACCGATACGAAAATCGAATCACCTTAGAAAGACGTCTAACAGATGTGTAAGAGGCACGACCAAGTCGTATTATCGGATAATTTGTTTGCATCCGACAAGCATGCGCCCTAAAATTGACTAACAATCAGGTAAAAAATATTCTTTCTGTACAATGTAAAATAAAATATTTCTAATATTCGGTCGGGATAGAATCTGACGGAGATATATTAATTACTCCAAGTTGGAACCTTGGAAATGACACTTTCTGCTTCATCCTCAGTAACACAAAAAAACTTACGCCTCGAAAAACTTATATCTCCCATCCAGCGTATCATATTTGCGCGATACAGGCCAGTACTGCCCAGGTGATTCCGTTATTGCATCCATTCTAAAAAATGGGTACATAAATGCTACCGGAAATTTATTTTAGGCGGTCTTGAGAAATTATTTTCAAAATTTTTCATGTAATTACTTGAAAATAATCAATAAAAAAAGAATGAAAAATTCCGGAATGGGAAAACATAACCAACTTATAACGAATGAACGACAACAATGCCACACTTGGTAACTGACGGCGAGGGCGACGACTCATATGCGGTTATTTAACAGTTGCAGCGTTAAATAATTTTTAGAGATTCAAAAATTAAATTGTGAAAAGAAAATCAAAAATGAAATGGATTTTTGGGTGAAGATTGGAATAGAAATCAAAAAGTAAATCAAATTAAAGAGTGCTGAATACAAGTAACAAAGATCATCTACAAACATTTGAATTTTCGTCAACACATAATGTATAAATAAACATAATATAAACAAATGAACGAATATAAATAAATAAACAAATAAATACATACCTACCGTAGTTTCTTGACACATTTATGAGAAGGTCCATTTGGAACAGTTTGTTTTTTTGTTGCTAACAACTTTTTCTCTATTGACAGAACTAAAATATATCTGAGTTAAAATTGAAAATATTTCTTTTCCACTGTATTTTCTGTCGATTACTTCTTTCATTCTCTTAATTTTCCTTTCCCTCTTCCCACCCGTCCAATTCCTAATTATACCATTTAATCTAATTAACCCTAACAATAAATCCAATTAATTATTCATCGAAAACAACTTTACGCCATTTTGTTAACGTCTTCCTTAGAGGTGACAATACCTTCCATTTATTCTTCTTGTCATATCTTTCTGTCCTTTATCTCTCCCTTACCCTTCCACAACTTCTAATACAGTTTTTTCGCTTGGGAATCCCCCCTCTCCTATCTTGTGGTTTCTTTATTTCCATAATATACATTCTTGACAATATCCTATTTCCGGATAATAAGATATGGTTTTCATCGTATCATTTCATTCGAGAGCCCAATCATGAAAACCGGAAAATAGTATCTTAGCATCAGGGGAAAAAAAAGACCGGTCAGTTCCAAGCTTCAAAATACTGCTAGTAAGGTTTTATCGTCTCTGACTAAAAGCCTTAGGTCTGTCAGTCTGATTCCTTTTGACCACTGTCCTTCTCAACTTTTAAATGTATTTTTAATTTTCTTTTTTTGGGGGGAGGGATTGAGGCATATCTTTTTTTTCTCAGAAGACATTTTCACATTTAAATGCAATGCAAATATGGCCTATTTATTCGTAAATAGTATTTATGCCTGAATTTTACGTTCTTACAATTCGAAGGACATGGCGGATTGTGACGAAATGACCGGTAGTATGTCCACATTGTTATGCCAAATGCACAAATAGTTCCTATGACGCCTAAGATAATTAATTTACTTAAAATCTATGATTAACCGATAGATTTATTCC